TGAACGCAAATGCACAAGTACTCTTGCGAGGGACCTCCCGCTACGAATCACTACTCGCAGAACTAATTGTCAACGGCGCTCCACAACTAGTTTTGTGAGTAATGAATTCTTCCTCGTCATCGTCATGCTGCTCGCCCTCCTCTTCTTCCTTCCCCTGCTCCTCCTGCTCCTCCTGATCCTCGTCATTGTGCCCCCTTCTCTCCGCTTCGAGGCGATACTCACAAATCTAGTTGTGAACGCAGCTGCACAAGTAGTCTCGCGAGGAACCTCCCGCTGCAAGGCACTACTCGCAAAACTAATTGCGAACGACGCTCCACAACTAGTTTTGTAAGTAATGAGTTCCTCCTCGTCATCGTCGTGCTGCTCACCCCCCTCTTCCTCCTTCTCCTGATCCTCCTGCTCCTCGTCATTGTGCCCCCTCCTCTCCGCTTCGAGGCAATACTCACAACTCTAGCTGTGAACTCAGCTGCGCAACTAGTTTTGCGAGGAACCTCCCGCTATAAGACACTACTCGCAAAACTAGTTGTGAACGGCGTTAAACAATTAGTTTTGTGAGTAATGAGTTCCTCCTCGTCATCGTCGTGCTCCTCGCCCTCCTCTTCTTCCCCCCCCTGCTCTTGCTCCTCCTGCTCCTCGTCATTGTGCCCCCTTCTCCCCGCTTCGAGGCGATACTCGCAGCTCTAGTTGTGAACGCAGCTGCACAACTAGTTTTGCGAGGAACCTCCCGCTACAACACAATTCGCGATCTAATGATTCCTATTGAAATTGTCAACATAAGGATTCGCGTTGAAACCCTTCACAGAAGGAGACTTAGGTGGATGAGAAGGAAGAGAAGGAGGAATCTGAGGCGGATGAGGAGGATCAGGAGGAGGATGAGGGAGAGGGAGAAGAACCTCTATAAAACGATTCTTAATGATCAACTGCAACGCAGCCGATTGGATTGTAATGCGTTGCCAACGATTGAAGCCGCAAGCGCTTGGAATGCAATCGACTGGGTTGCGCCTGACAACGTAGCAAAACATACTCAAGAAGAGCAGGAGGAGGAAGGGAGATGAACGACTGGAGGGATCAAGGGGGCATGTGTATGATCATGTGTGTGGGGGGGGGGGGGGGGGGGCGAGCTGTTTGTTTTTCTATTCTCTCTCTCTCTCTATATATATATTAAAGTCGGATGCGAGCGCATAAACATTTTCCCGACCCGAACTCCTGCAACGCCCGTGTCCAGGAACTCTCGCGAACTCCAGCAGATGGGCGGGCCTCAGTGCACGCGGGCCCTGTAGCTTGCTCGCAGTTCGAGCTAAGCGTGGAAAGTCGCCCGAAAGGAACGCCACAAGTTTACAATTATGAACGTTGTCATGTTTCTGTTTGTCGTGCAACTCGGTTCTAGCAGTCCAATGACTTTCGACCGAAGGCTTTCGACCACGACGAAGACTTGCCAAGACGGCCCAAGATCTAACAATCTAGACAGTGCGAAGAGCTCTCGCGCCATGTGTAGATGCGCGTGTTCATTTCTTATCGACTGGTGTGATTGCCAGCTCTGTAGCTCATCTGCAGCTCGAGTTATGTTGAGAAACCGAGCCGTGCAAGCAAGTTAGCTATTCATTTTTAAGGATGTTCTAACACTCTCAGCAATGTGAAGATCTTTCGCACCATGTGTGGATGCGCGTGCTTATTTCCTATCGCATGGTGTGCTTGCCAGCTGAACATCGCATCTAGAGCTCGAGTCAAGTTGAGTAAATCGAACCGCGCAAGCAAGTGTATGACTGAAGGTTGAGATTTTTAAAAGAATTCTAACAATCTAGGCACTCCGAAGAGCTCTCGCCCGATGTTTTGATACGGGTGCTGGTTTCCTATCGGATGCTTTCGTTCCCAGCTCTGAAGCTCACCTGGAGCTCGAGTTAAGTTGAGAAAACCGAATTGCACAAGCAAGTGTACGACTCGAGTTTGAGAGTTTTCCCAGATCTTCTGACAATCTAGACAATGCGAAGAGCTCTCGCGCCACGTCTAGATGCGCATAAGCATGCCCTGCCGAATGGTGTGATGAACAGCTCTGTAGCGTATCTACAGCTCGAGTTAAATTAAGCAAACCGACAGCACCTGCCAAGATGAGATTCAACGCCGGATACCCTCTGAGTGTTTTTTGATAGTAATATCCACCCGATAGACCTGATATCAAGATGGCGAGTTGCACTAAGATCAATGTCCATGGGGAAAATATTATATCTCTAACGCATGGTTGAATTCCAGAACACAATTTTTAATTGACCCAAAGTCGGCAAAATTGGCTGCCGGCGGTAAACCGTCAACCAGGTTACCGCCGGGGACCTCGTAGAGCTCCGTACACGAATCACAGTGCTGTAAATGCGGACATGAAACATCAGTTTGAGAACTCGAGGTTTTTTTTTGGATTTTAACGGAAAGTCAGTTGCACAAATATTTATGAAAATTTTAGCAGCTAGAGACTTAATAATGTGCAAGCGAACGAGACAGGAACTATTCATTCCCAATCGAATTGCCGAATCCCTCAGAATTTCTAGAAAACTGTTCTTTGTCCTTCATGTTTCATTTTTGAGGTCGGTCCATGGAAGTTCAATCGATATGAGTATTGCAGCTACAGCCCTGAGACTTTCACGAGCTAGCGCAGCGTGATCCAATGCTCACAACAAAATATTGGATTCAAAACGTATCGTCGAATCGCTCACAATCTCCCCACAACCGCAAACATCAATTATTCATTGCAACTTGAGGTCGGTTCCTCCACGTCTTTTGATAGTAATGCTGCAGCTACGGACCTGAGAATATCACTGGCAGACGCAGCATAACCTACTACACATGAGAAAATACGGGTTCTCAAAACGAATTGTCGCATCTCTCACAATCTTCAAAGAACCGATCCCAGGTCATCACATTGTCCGCCCTAGCCACGTCGGTCAACTAGCTCCACCCCGCGCCGGAATTCCTTTAGCTCGTCGCACCGACGAGCCCTACGAGGTACTGGGTGCTGGCGGCAAACCGTCAACCAGGTTACCGCCGGGGACCTCGTAGAGCTCTGTATAAATGTAATTGCGCTGTGAGTGCGGATGGTAAGCTCCCTAGAAGATCAGCAGGAGTAGAGTGACTTTTTTTTTGGTTCTAACGAAAAATTAGTTGCACATGTAAATTTTCAGTAGGGCAGCACCTAAAGACCTGGTATTTCCAAGAGAGTTGCAGAGGAAGTACGGTAGTAGCGGAGAAACTTCATTCCCACACAAATCGCCAAATTTCTGGGAATTTATAGGAAATTTTATTTCTTTCAAATCAATGCATTTTTGAGGTCTGATCGAAATATTGCAATTACAGCCCTAATTATGACTTTCACGAGCAAGCGCAGCGTGATCCAATGTCCAAGGCTTCGCCGTGGCGTCCACCCTCGCAACTGGATGCGTACATTCCGTGGCGGTGGACATGTCGGTGGCTTTGCCCGTAATCTCCACGTCGCAAAATTCAAAATAGTTTCCATTCGTTTCCAGTGTAGATTGTGATTGGTCGGCTCTGGCACTGGTGTCCAGTACTATCACGCAAGAACCTGTATCCAGTGCCCGCCGCGTGTCCTAGTTGTTATTGCCCTTGGATTTGCCTTTTGGCGCACCCTTCATTCCGAGGCTGGACCGATATGTAATGGAGACGCATTTCTCGGTCAAGGCGATCAGCTTCTCACGTTGTTGGAGCTCTTCCCAGTTCTGCCATGCTTCCTCCCACTCGCGGTGAATAGTGCAATCGCGTGCACGTGCAGTGAGCGCCAGCTGGCCGCCAACGTGGACTTGATACGGAGCATAGTCGTTAATTCTGATATTGTACTCGTTGCCCATATCATGTTTGAGCAGATACTTAACGCCAAACGCAAAGTTTCGGGCTGCTCGTTCACACGGTTCTCTATCCCGCGGTGCCCAAGCTGTGTTGGAACCCCGTTGTACGCGTTTGCTCCAGAAGAGAGCTACGGCAGTGTCTCGCTCTAGCAGATCGCCAAACTCCACAAATAAGACGTTACGAACATCCCTTTTGGCATACACATTCTTGGGAAAGGGGGCCGTTCATGTTGGCGAGCTGTTCCTGGATCAACTCGGTCGCGGCGACTTCGGACTCGAAGTTATCCAGGTTGCCGATGACCGCTGTGACGGAGCGCTTACCGTTGTAGTGGTATTCGTCTGCTATCTTCTGGAAGTAGCCTGATCGTGAAGTATGATTCCCATAGTCTTTGAAGTCATGCTTCATATTGTCGATCTGTTCTTGCATCGTTTTTTCCATGTTGGTCATCCTCATCTGGACATCTTTAATATCGTTTGAAGCCGTTTTCGATGAGTGTCGAAGTCTTTCCTCATATCTCCAAGTCGTGATTTCAGCGCTGCAGTGGCGTCTTCAAGGTCCTTGCGGGAGACGCCGTGTTTCTTGATGAAGGCGATGTCTTGCTGGATTGGGTGAAGATGGGCGACAATTAGGTTTGCGATCGCACTTAATGTAAGTGGTTCTTCTGCTGATCCAGATGCGCCTATTCCCAAAAAGGGCATAGGAGTGGGTAGCTGAAGTCGGCCTGCAACACCTGCATGTGAAGCTGAGGAACCTTCAGGGGGGTCTCCTGTGTCAAGTCTGGCTGTGACCTCTAACCCGTCTAATTCATACAGTGGGCTGTTCATCCTTTGTTGTTTTGCCTCTGGCCGCGTTGGAGTACTGAGAACGTGACGTTCTGGAATCCCCGCCCAGAGTGGTGGCACGAGAGAACGGGATCTACTGTGGTAGGAATCGTAAACATAAGCGGAAGCCTTAGGGAAGGAAGGGCCCAAGGATTGATTTTTCTGGCGCAGGTGTTTCCGGGCGCATATTAATCCTATACTTAGGATGCGTATGGGGAAGTTATACATATATATATGTATGTGTATATGTACATTCAGATACTTATGTAAAGATATGTACATATATACATATAGGCATAGTGGTGTCCCTGTGTGACATAGGCACGCTGGTTGCAACGTTGCATGTTCGCTGCCTCGTAATCAGTCGATGGTGCCAGCCCCGCTGGCTCCCGTCATGAAATCCGCAGTTCCCTCGGGCAGGGTTTTCGGATCGAAGGTTGTGCGAGACCGGCTGCTCCAAATATGCAACGGTTGAAATGCTGAGGAGTACAACGTGTGGTTGCGCGCCTTGTCATATTCTGTCGGTGCTGGCTCGAGGGAAGCCAGTAAGCTGCTGTTGCCCCGACGTGCAGATTCCCAGTCGCCTCGCATCACAGCAGGAACCACGTGTTTCTTCCATGCGTTTGTCCGCCATCTGGCGTACACTCTATCCCCAGTCTGCTGGGGTCATCGGCCTCTCATCGTTCTTCTTTGCCTTCACCCCGATTGTACTCTATCTGGCTCTTGCCCTCCCTCTCTCCGGTGCACTGATTGCGTCTCTCTTTTTCCCTCTTTCTTCTGCCAGTCTGTTTGTTTGCTTTTTGCCTATCTCCGTTCTTGCCCCTCTCTGTCTCGACCATCTCTTCCTTGGATCGCTGTATGTCATATTATCGCCTTGTCTCCTTCATGTAGGTCTCCAGTGGCCTCTGGAAGCATCCTGGGCCAACACGCCCGTGGCCTCTGGAAGACGAAGAGGGCGGGTGTCCAAGGTTTGGGATGTGCATATTGAATGACACGCGAGCAGATAAGAGCGAACAGTCTGAAACTGATTGTTGTTGTTTTTGAATTCTTACTTCTGAAGAAGAGTTATTGTTGATCCCCCTCCACTGGGGCATACTGTTTTTTCTGAGTCAAAGTGTGCCCTTCGACGCATCCTGTTTTTTGGAAGGGAAAGTCTTGGTGGGCAAACTGTGCCCCTGGCCCCCCGGACTACAACAACGGCTCCCGCCGGAGACTTCCTCCAAATTTGCTCAGGACTCCCCCCTCCCGTCTGAGATTTCTTCCCACTTTACTCAGGAACAGCGCTCCCTCTTGAGACTTCCTCGCAATTTAATCCGGGTCAAACTGCGTTGTTGTTCTCCTGGACTACAGCAACAGCGGCTTCCGCCTGAGACTTCCGCACAATTTATTGAAGAATCGCGCTCTCGCTTTGGAATTCCTGGCAATTTACCACCGAATCGCGGCTCCCGCTTGAAACTTCCTGACAATGTATTATACAATTGTATTATGGAATCGCGTTCTCGCCTGGGACTTCCTCGCAACTTACCACCGAACCGCTTCGCTTGATATTTCCTCACAGTTTATCCAGATGCCAGTCCTCGACAGTCAGGAATCGCGCCCCCGCTACATATTGCCACGTGGTTCAAGCAGGACTGACGCTTCAACGACATGCCCGCTCGACCCGTCCGTCGGGGCCTGCCCGGCCGACCAACCCGTCAATGACTGCAGTCGCCGCTCGCTGCCCCTCGCCCGCCTTCGATGCCCCTCGCTGCCCGTACTGGTTCCGCGGTCGCCTTCGCTCGTTGCCCTTCGTGGCTCTGTTGCTGCCCTCAGTGGCCCCGTCGCTGTCTTTTTTATGGCCCCGCATTATATGCCCTTCGTGGCCCTCGTTCGCACGCGCCCGTCGTGGCCCCATACGCATGCCTTTCGTAGCCCCGCCGTCGCCCTTCGTGGCCCACTCGCTGCCCTTCGTGGCCCCGGTGCTGCCCTCAGCGGCCCCGTCGCTGCCTTCTGTGGCGTCGGATTTTATGCCTTTCGTGGCCCACGCTGGATTCCTTACGATTTACTTAAGAGTCGCGTTATCGCTCGAGACTTCCTCGCGATTCATGCAGGACCCACGCTTCGGCAACCCGCCTGCTCGACCTCGTCGCTTGGGCCCGCCTTCCCGACCTGCCCGCTATGTTCTACCATTTGTATTCTGCTCCTGGCCCTCCTCCTGCTCACTTGTCTCGTGCTCCGTTCTGCTCACTCCCCCTTTCACCCGTCCTCTCTTCCCTTGTTTACGGGGCTGCATGACATACACGTGGCAGATAAGAAAACTATACCCCCCAGGGGGTACGATGGAAGACGACGAGGGCGGGTACCGAGGGCTTGGGATATACGTATTGATTGGCACGTAAGAAGATGGGAGCGAACAGTCTTAAACTGATAGTTGATGTTGCTGTTGCTGTTGTTGTTGCTGTTGTTGTGGTTGATGATGTCGTCGTTGTTGGTGCTGTTGTTGCTACTGCTGTGGTTGAGGTTCTTGTTATTGTTGTTGTTGTTGCTCTTGTTGTTGTAGTTGTTGGTGTTCTTGTTGTTGTTGTTGTTGTTGTTGTTGTTGTTGTTGTTGTTGTTGTTGTTGTTGTTGTTGTTGTTGTTGTTGTTGTTGTTGTTGTTGTTGTTGTTGTTGTTGTTGTTGTTGTTGTTGTTGTTGTTGTTGTTGTTGTTGTTGTTGTTGTTGTTGTTGTTGTCGTTGTTGTCGTCGTCGTCGTCGTCGTCGTTGTTGTTATTGATGCGGTTGCTGTTGTTGTTGTTGTTGTTGCTGTTGTTGTCGTTGTTGAATCCTCGTTTCTATATAATGTTGATCCCCCTGCGCGGCACTCATTATTCTTAATTGCTGTGCTTACCCAGGGCTCGCACCCCGTTTATTACAAGGGAAAGTGAGGTGTCACCTAACGGTGCCCCTGGCCCCCGATTTAGAACAGCAGCGGCTCCCGCCTGATACTTCCTCACAATGTATTCCCAAATCGCGCTCTCGCGCGGGACTTTCTCACAATCTATACAAGAGTCGCGCTCTCGCGTGGGACGTCCTCGCAATTTATTCAGACGCCGCCCCCTCGACACTTAGGAATCACGCTCTCGCAGTGGATTTCTTCACGATTCATTTGGGAATCGCGCTATCGCTGGAGATTCTTCGCGATCCATGCAGGACGCACGCTTATGAACCCGCCTGTTCGACATGGCCGCCTGGGCCCGCCTTCCCGACCCGCCCGTTAGGGCCTGCCCGCTCGATCTGCCCGTCTGGTTCTGTCACCTGTTTTCTACTCCTAGCTCCCCTCCTGTTGCTCTCTCTTGTGCTCCGTCCTCCTCCCTTACCCCTTGTCCGTTCTTTCTATCGGAGATGCGGGTTAAATAACACGCGAACGGATATGTGGGAACAGTTTTAATATTACCGTGTTGTTTGTGGTGACGATTATGACGACGAGGAGAATGTGGAGCAGGATGAGGAGGCAGAGGAAGGCCGTCACAGGTGATACCTTTTCGTCTTCAGTTTTGTTGATGAGCTCTCATGGAAATCGTTCGGTCCATCTTGGGGTTGTCTTGGCCCCCCGTGAAGCAGTCTTGGGGCCCTCTTGCGCCGTCTTGATGCCCCTCTTACGCCTATTTGTGGCTCCCTTGGGCCGTCTCGGGGCCCCTTTGGCCGTATGGTGGGTGTCTGCGGGCTGTCGTGGGGCCGTCTTGGCGTCGTCTTCGGCCGTCGAAGAGCCTTCTAAGGCCGTCTTGCGTCTCAGGGGAGGCCTGCTTGGGCCGTCTTGGGGCTGTCGTGGGGTCCTCTTGGGCCATCTTGGGGTCCTCTTGGGGGCCTCTTGGGCCTTCCCGGGGCCATCGTGGAGGCTTGTTGGGCCGTCGCGTGTTGACGGAGGTCCGAAAAGGCGAGAATGCGACAAATATTCATTCAAACACCTAAGTTCAATCAATGTTTTTGTTTCGTCGGACCCTGCTGAGGGTCCTCTTGTGGCCATTTTGGGCCCTCATGGAGGCATTTTTGGCTGTCTCGAGGCCATATTCGACTGCCTTGGGGCCATCTTGGGCCATCTTCGAGGAATCTTGCGCAACCTTGGCTTCATTGGTTGCCTGCGTGGGCCGTCTTGGAAGCTCGGGACGTTGATTTATACTTTTTCGCGTTGGTTCGTGGCCTCGGGAGCGCGAACCCCTTGTTTTTTACTAGAGATCGTGGTCTCGGGAGGGGGGTCGATGCACGCGGCGGTTCGCGGGTAGAGGCGGGCCCTTGCTCCCTTGTGGGAATAGTGAAGTCCTACCAGACAGCACTTGGCATTCTACAACGCCTAAACGTGCCCGGGGGTGCCGTGGCGGATGACGGGCAGCGCCTCCTGGCGTGGACCGTTTATCTCCGCCAACATCTTTCCTAACCATCCTGTGGTGTTGGGTCTTCCTTTTGAAGAGACAGCGCCCCGCGTCTCACTCACTCACTCCTCCTCCCCCTCCTCCCTCCTCCCCCGCACCGCACCCATTTTGGCACACCCCTCACACGTTTCGCGGCCCCATAGGGAGCTCTACCTAAGGCCCCAGAGGGAAAGGTTGCATGGCGGCCCCGCCCCATTTCGGCAGACCCCTCACACGTTTCGTGGCCCCATAGGGAGCTCCACCTAAGGCCCCAGAGGGAAAGGTTGCAAGGCGGCCTCGGACCATTTCGGCAGACCCCTCACACGTTTCGTGGCCCCATAGGGAGCTCCACCTAAGGCCCCAGAGGGAAAGGTTGCAAGGCGGCCTCGGGCCATTGCGGCAGACCCCTCACACGTTTCGTGGCCCCATAGGGAGCTCCACCTAAGGCCCCAGAGGGAAAGGTTGCATGGCGGCCTCGGGCCATTTCGGCACACCCGTCACAGGTTTTGTGGCCCCGTAGGGAGCTTCACCTAAGGCCCCAGAGGGAAAGTTCGCATGGCGGCCTCGGGCCATTTCGGCACGCCCCTCACGAGGATCGTGGCCCCATAGGGAGCTCCACCTAAGGCCCCAGAGGGAAAGTTCGCATGGCGGCCCTGGGCCATTTCGGCACACCCCTCACGAGGATCGTGGCCCCATAGGGAGCTCCACCGAAGGCGCCAGTGGCAGGGTTCGCATGGCGGCATCGGGCGATCTCGGCACACCCCTCACGAGGATCGTGGCCCCGTAGGAGCTCCACCGAAGGCGCCAGTGGCAGTTCCCTCATGGCTCTCAGAGCTCTTTCCTGCTTCTGCTCCTTGGTCAGGGGGACGGCGTCCTCGTCGTCGTCGGCGCCCGCGAAGACGGCCACGAACGTGTCTCTGAGCATGTCGGGCTCCGGCGGGAAGCCGTGGCCACATAGGGAGCGCGGGCGAAGATGGTATTCACAATTGCGGTATTCATATCTGCGTATGGTTGGGTCCTTCGCCAGGCTAACTTCTATTTTCTCCAACTGAGGGGCACGGGATCCATTCCGGACCTCGCCGGCGGATGACGGAAAGCGCCTTGTCGGAACGAGAAGGTGATGGGAGCTTGCTAGAGGAAGCTGAATGAGGAACAAATGACGCGAGATACTCCTGGCTCGATACTGTGTTTTGTTGGTCGCTCGGCTGATTACGGGAAGCGCCTTCTCGGAACG